GGCGTGGCTGCAGTGGTCTCCTCTCCGGGACATTGCCAGGACCTCTTTTATCCAGGGGCAGTCACGCTGGTAGGTGCCCCTGCGCCGCCCCCACCCCCCCACCACAGGCAGCACCGCACTCCTTCTGGTCCCCAGAAACGCGGTGCCCTTGGCCCTGTAGGTGCTGGAGCAGATGTGACTTCCCGGCCAGTGGGCTTTCCTGGAGTCCTCCCAAGCCCTGCTGCCCTCTGCCACCTCCGGCAGCCTGGAAAGTTGGCTTCCTCCGTCCTGGGGGCCTTGCAGCACTTGGTGGCTTCTCCTGGTACTTCCCCCAAATACAAAAGGAGGCATCTGGGTTCTAAAGACAGGCGGTCCAGAGCAGCCTCTGCAGCAGTGTGATCCCACAAAGCGGGCAGACACCAGAGTAGAATCCACCGAACAGGCATGCAAGAATCACCCTCGGGTTGTAAATGCCGGACCACCAGCCCCCTCGGCATTGTAGACATCGCAAGGCGTACAGATGACTCTTTAAATTTTTAATGACTCCCCTGAGAGCCCTTTTCCTCCAGTGAGCCAACCCCCATTGACACTGGGACCTGGTTAGCCCCAAAAGACTCACAGCAAACGCGACTTTGTGGAGGGAATCACAAGAGCACGTCTCGAACCTTCCCCAGATGGAGTGCTTCTGTCCACACACGTTCATCCACACTCACTTCTCTTCTTCTTCCACCCCCCCATATTCACCCCTCCCTCCAGAGTCTCCACGGAGGCTCTCATGTCCTACTGGGGAGGCCCTGCACACCCCTGCACCAGAACAGGGGCAGTGCACCCGCAGGGGCCTGGTGGGCGCTGCCATCTCGGTCAGCATCACCCTTTGGCTTCCCACCGATCCTCCGGTGTTAATCAAACCCAGTTCAGAATGAAACTACAGCGTGCTTCTTGTTCTGGTATGAAATGTGCAAAGCACAGACCATATCATTAACATAAAACTTCCAGAAATAAGGCCACTTTCCAGACAGACTGTATTAATTGCATCAAGCTTCCACAGCTAGGGTGGTCTAATCCACAGTGTCCCATTGGATGGCTCCGGTTATAAAAACCAACACAAATGAACACTGGGATATAATTGAAGGAGGAGTACACGATAGATTCTACTGTTACACCCTACTATTTACTTACAGGTATTCTTTTATCTTTATTGTCCCTTTAACCCATGCCAAGAAACCCCAGACTAGTTAAATAACACAGCAAGCAATTTCAGTAGAAAAGTAAATTGAATTTAACTTTACAAGATTGCCCTGTGATTTCAGCATCTACTAATGACTGCAACTGACTCCTTCTATTAAATCCAAACACTTCCACTTCCCCGAGCTGGGATCCTGTGTGTTCTTGCGTGAGACCTTGAACTTCACCGAGCACATGTATTAATCACAGTAGCAGATGACCATTTGCGGCTTTTAAATATGCAATGAAGTTTCTAGGTTCCTTTTCCACCTCACAATGCTGGTACATGATCTGGGCCAGCCAAGAGGCTAAATGCCTTTAAGAATGGAACCTGGAGATCGAGCCTGATGTAAAATCTCAGACACATAACTGTGTACTGTTGTAAAACCCATTCTGCTCAAGCATGAATCAGAACTTCTACAGGGCTCACTTAGCATGAGGCACTGGTCTCAGCACCTAGCAAATATGACCTCATCTGATCCTCAAAACAAGCTGTCAAGGCATAAACTATCATCACCCCCATTTTATAGGTGGGAAAACTGAGGAACAAGGAGGAAAACGAGGTCCCAAAACCATACAGAACAGCAGCCTTGACTCGGGCAGGGGATGCACTCTGATGACTGCCTGACAGTCATGGAAACCCTGGAATGGGGAACGGTTCAGGGGAGCCAAGGCCCAGAGGTTTCGGAACCGGCCTCCGACCACCACACCCCTGCCCTGGGGACCTGAGCTAAGTCACAACATGCCCAGTCATCCACAGCAGCCAGTAACTGAAACAGATAGATCTGTTAGATAGATCAATAGAATCTGTTTTAGAAGTCAAATGTGGAGCCTCATTTTTAAACGTTACGTATATATCACGTGATACGTATGTACGTGTGTAGATGCATTTATATTTTTTATTACAGAAGAGGAAACAGCCCCAGAGAGAGAGAACAGCTTCTTCAAGGTCACCAGCCAGGTGGAGTGAGGGCCAGGACCACAGCCCGAGCTTCTCGACTCCATGGGCGCCCTGGATAGTTCCTCCATGAAATGTCTCAGGGAAGAAACTTCAGTTTCCAGGAATGCCCACACTCAAAGTCCTCTCACCCTCCCAATATCTCAGCAGAGTCAAAAAGCAATGAAGAGCCCAAGTGCCTCCTCCCCACCCCACTGTGACCATCCGGAGGTCTGGGGTGGAGGTCCCAGGAGGCGGGGCTGTCTGGGACGCTGCCAGCCAGAGAGGTACACAAACACACAAACCTGTGTGGCTTGCTCCCCCATAAAAATTACATCCTTCTATAAATAACTGTGAATGCCTTCACGGGCATGCAATTAACCTGTGTGAAACACGGTTACTCCAGGGTTTTCCGTATTAATTTGAAGAGATAGGTTCAGTGCATCCTGATCTGAAAAGAGACAAAACAAAGTAAGGACGGTGGCCCCTCTCCGTCTTTACAGAGGGCTGCTTCTTCCTAACGGGTTACTGTGAATTTAATGACTCCATTCCAACTACTAATTAAACAGGCACTAAAAACACTTCAGCAAACAGCCCAGTGCCAGGGACAGAAGCCACAAAGGGACAAAAACCTCCGGAACACGATATTTTCAGGTACTGAAACTGATCAGAAAGTATGGAGGGACAACCTCGAGCAGGCTAATTAGCGGGGATCCAACAGTGAAAGAGGACAGTGCTGGAAATCACGGCCAAGCGTCAGAGGCCCAAGAGCAGGCCTCCGAGGAGGGTCGGGAAGGGTGGTCCCAGAGACCCCAGGAACAGAGCCCACCCTGCCTCGCTCCCCTCCCTAGACACTGACATCAGTTTGGGGGCTGCTCGAGGACTCTAAGCCCTCATGGCATCAAGTTCTAAAATCCAAGAGGGCCTCTAAGCCAGATGAACCAATGCCAGAGATGAAGCAGGTTCTGGATGACCAGCCAGGGTCAAATCCCACCTCTGCCCCTCCGCCCCCTTCCAAGAGTCCTCTCTGCAGGTCCCCATTCCCGCACTCCCCATCTCCACCCCTGCAAGCTGCAGGAGGGTCGGACATGCTGTGCCTGACTCCACCTTGGTTTGCACGGCGCCTACAAATGAGGTGCCCAAGAAAGGGCTTTTCCTAAAAGAGTGATTGAACGTGGGCTATGAGAACTCCACATCTCCGAGCCTCACTTTCTCATCTGGAAAGTGGAGAGAAGAGAACCTACCTCCTAAGGTCACTATGGGGATTAAATTCAAGAATGCACACAAAAGGCCCAGTGCAATCCCGCACACAGTAGGCCCTCCACACATGGTCCCTTGAAGGAAGGGGGTGGCACTGTGGCTGAGGGCAAGCGTAGGAGGACGTGTTGCTACCAGAGCCAACAGAGGGTTAAGTGAAGCCCCGGGCGCACCTCTGCCAGGGAAATCATGTTTCTGTACCACGGAACTTGACCGAGTCTAGTCAGAAACACTCAGGCTGATCTTTGATAGCGCGACTCCCCGCGTGGCTGCAGGGGCTGCCGCACTAATTACAGGAAGCCACGAGAGCAGGGCAAGCACCCGGACGAAGCAGGCATCCCTCGCTCAGCAAGCAGAGATCACAGCGCAGCCCTACAGAGCTGGGATGGGAGCCCCAATCCCCCGGGGCGCTCGGGCGGCCCGGGGCAGGGAGTCGGCCGATTTGCCCGTGGAACCGACGCCTTCCTGGACAATTTTAGTCTTTGCTTTGTGCATTCACTGCATTAGCCCAGTACCTACAATGCCACCATACCCCACAGCAGGAGCTGCTGAAGGCCGCAGGCCACCCGACCGGCAGGAAGGCCTAGGAGGCTCTTGCCCCTGGAGCCAGGGCTCCACCTGGGACCATCCCTTGGGACAGCTTCAATTGAAGCAAAACCTGTCTCAGAAAGACAGTTTTCCCTTCACTACCCAAATCAAGAGAAAGCCTGCAACGTGCCTGGTGACAAAGCTGGGACAAACTGAGTTGGCCCCAGCTCGGCAACGCCCCCCCAACCCCTTTCCTGGCCCCTGCCCGGAAACCAGGCCTCAGGGCGCTCACCACCACCTGTGTCTGTGTCAGCATCCTGGCACCAGGCCCTGAGCAGGAGAGGCCTGTGCCCACAAATTCCAGGGACCCCAGGCCACAGCAGGAGTTTGGGTTGTGTTTGGGAAGAGAGGTGGGGGGCGCTGCGCTGAGGCTGCCCGTCTGCCCATCTGTACGATGGGCAGCCACACAGACCCGCAGAGAGGCACACAGCAGGGAGGTGCATGGCCCCACCCCACAGGCAAGGCTTCACCCCCTCCCACGGCCACAGCTGAAAGGCTCCTTCAGAGTGACTTTTTTGTCTCAAAGTTAATAGGCAACACATTCTGGCAAAGAGAAACTCAGCATTTTGGATGGCTCCGGCGATGTGCACAGACGACCGGGGAGTCCTCCCCCCAGTGCTGTCGTCAGGAAGGGGGGCAGTGACTGGGGTGGGGGGGGTGGCAGTGGCGAGAGCAGAAGAAAACCTCAGATGTTAAGTGTTATCCAATTAAGCTTTAGCTAAACAGCCCAAAGAGATGAAATTTGGAAGCTGGAGAAATGCATTCCGGGAGTGAGACACTCAGAACGGGCGGAGGCGTCGGAGGACCTCCTGACGGATGGGGACAGGGGCACATTGATGTGCTTCACCACTCCCCCTGTGCCCCCGCAAAATGCCTTTAGGGGTGGGACTGCACATCCTCCCTGGGGCCCCACCTTGCCCGGCCCACCTGGGGGAGGCAGCCGCCAGCTCGGCCCAGGGCACACCCCGCCATCCCTGGGAGCCCACCCCCCCCACCGACCGCGGCCGTCTGTTACCTGACAACTGACACTGGCATCCAAAGGGAGCCTCCGTCTGACCCTCACCCTGAGTCCCGTCACCCGAGACTGGGCGCGCGCTGCAGCACGGCAGGGGGAAGCAGGGCGGCAGAGCGCCCAGGGTGCGCAGAGGTGGAGTGATCACGGATGAGTGAGGGTGGGAGGAGGCAGCTATGGGGGCCGTCGCTGGCAGCTGGGCAGGCCTGCACGGCCCTGGAGAAAAAACAATAAAAAAGACTGGTCAGTCGGGCCCTGGACCGTACAAGGGACCCGGGGTGTGGGGCAGGGGCCCGGGGCAGAGAGGGCTGCAGGCCACCCTTCCAGAGTGGGAGGCCCCGGGGTGCCAGGCCCTGCAGGGAAGGTGACCGGGCACAGGCAGGGGGCAAGAGGCCAGGGAAGTGGGTGGGGGGCGTCTCATGGGGTCCTCCTTCCACAGCTGCCAGGATGGGCTGTCTTGGGACCAGACTCCCATCCCTGGGGGGGCGGGGCCAAAAGAGGTTGTCAGGACCCTTGAACCCAGGAAGCCCCCCACCCGCCAACGTGGAGGCTTCTGGAGTGTTCCGGAGCTGGCTCCCTTTGGGGATTCATTCCCAAAAACCTGGGCCACCCCCCTCTGGAGGAGCTGGGAGGCTCCAAGCCACCACTGTCTGCTCTATCAGGTGGGCTCTTGGTACAGGCCTTGGACACCTCAATCTACCTCTGAGCACCTGGGCACCGGTTAACCTGCGGGCCTGGCGGACGGCCAGCTGGTGTCTCTCTCCAGCCCACAGTCCTCCTCAGCAACCTGAGCATCAAGCACACAGCACACAAGCCCCAAGGCCTTTCAGAAGGCTTTAAACGCCCCCCCAAACCACCCCAAGAAAACCCTGGCACTGCCCAGCACCCCTCTTCACGCCTCGGGCCGGCTGGGGGCACCTCCCCCATCTGACAGCCAGGATGCAGGGCCAGGAGCTCTCTTGCCTCCGCCCAGCCCCATGGCCCGCCTCGACTCCCCGGCAAGGCCTGCGTTTGATTTGGCCGTTTATCTTAAATGGCTAAGAGACCACCAGGGCAAAAATCTGTGTGAAGCCCTTGCCAAAACCACAAGTGAAGAAGCCCAAATTCCCTGGGTAAATAATTGAGCGGGGAAGCATCAGAGAGACAAAAAGAAAACACCAACAAGACGAGGGCAGCTGGGCCCCGGGCCGGCTCTGCCAAGGAGGCCACCCGACGCCGCTCACCACCCCACACGGGCCTGCAGGGCGGGGGTCTGCCCACTTTGGGGCCCCACAAGGGATTCCCCCACCCAGGAGAGCCACGAGGCCCCACAAGCCCACTTCCGGCCAGGATCCTGTCAGTCCCCCTCCTGAGTCTCCCAACATGCCCAGGGGACAGGGCCTGGGAGACCCACTGCACAGACCAGCAAACTGATGACGTGACCGCAGCCCCACCAAACCCAGGCCGTTGGCTCCAGAACCAGGGCTCTTTCGCTACAGCACCTGCCTCTACAAACCGGGTGTTATCCAGGGCCTTTCAGAACACCTGCAAATGTCCTGCCAAGAAGCCAAAGTCCCTGAAGACCTTGCACGAGGCAAGGCTTGGGGCCCAGGGCGTGGCTGAGCCCATGACAGCCCCAGAAGGGAGGCATGGCCAGTGACCCCACACAGTTCCAGCCACAGACTCAGTGCTGGCCCCCATGTAAAGTCGACACCCAAGGCGAGTGTCTCTGTCTCCTCCTGGAAGCCTGCCCTGGCCAGTCCTCGCCTAAGCCCCTGCCCCAGCACCGGACACTGCACATTCAGTCCTGTCTACATCCATCTGCCTTCACACCGTGGAAGGCTCCTGACAGGGCTTTGTGCTGAGCACCTACCACCAATACCTCACTCAGCTGAGAAAACCATCCACCATCCCATAGGGGATACCGAGGCTCACAGAGACCTGGGACTTGAACAGAGTTGTGTCTCCAAAGCCTGGATATGCCATGCTTCCCCCTCGGGCTGCAGCTAGTGTGGAGTGACCAGGGCGCCCAGGGATGCTGAGAAGAAGGGCCATGTGGCGTGGAGGGAAGCCGGAGGGTCCTTGGGCTCAGTCGGGCCATGGGAGACTGAAAAAGAGCAAATCCAGGCCCCCAGGTTCTGGGTGAAACCGTGACACAGCCACCACCATTTACCATGGCTGAGAAAGAGTGACAGGAGTGCTCAGGACTGCCCAAGCAGAAAGGGAGCAGAACCTAGGTCTCCAAGGCTGGGAGGAAGGATCTAAGGGCAGGTCCAGCCACACATCTCTCCTTCTGGAAAGGTCAGGCTTAGGCCAGAGTCTTTAAAGGCAAAGTCATCCCCCAACTCAGGTAGGGTTGGGGGGCCAAGCTGCCCCCTGGAGGGGCTTCCCTATGCCCCACTAAGAATTCCAACCTCACTGAAGACCACCTATTCCAGGGGCTGGCTCAATGGAGGCAGGGGAGGGGACAAAAAGAATGAGAGGCTTCTAATCCTAAGCTGCCCACAGAGGACACTCCAGCTGCTCTCAGAAGGCCTCTGCCCTGGGGGATCCCTCCCCCCACCCCCAGCAGCTTAACCCACAGGTGAACTCCAGAAACTCCAGAACTTCTCTCCTGAAGCTAGAGCAAAAGCAGAAGGCAATGCTAGAAGCCACCCACTGTGTGACTACGGTAAATGTCCAGAGTCGGCAAAACCACAGAGACAGAAGGTAGACAAGTGGTTGCAGGGGCCGGGGGCGGGGAAGTGAAGGCTAATAGGGACGCGGTTTCTTCCTGGGGTGGAGAGAATGTTCTGGAATTAGACAGCAGTGGTGATGGTTGCACAACATTGTGAAGACACTCAAAACCACTAACTGTACACCTTAAAGTGGTTGAAAGGGCAAAGTCCAAGGTGAGGACTGTCTGGCCTCAGCACCCATCCCAGGCCACCTCCCAGCCCTTGCCCATCCTCAAGGAAGGGGCGCCTGCATTCAAGTGCAGGCAGGAAATCCAGAACATGCTCGACAGAGCCCTTGAGGCCCAGTGACAACAGACTGACACACACAGAGGAAGCCTGAGCTCAGATGCAGGCCTGGAGCTGAAGCCTAGGCCCAATCCCCTCTGCCATTTCCTGGCCACGTGACTCAGGGTGAGTCACTTTCTCAGAGCCCCGCCCTTAAAGGAAGGTCAGGACAAGCCTGGCCAGAGGCTGGCTCCCAGTGAACACTCACGGAATGGCCACTATCATCCATTTATTTTCCACTCTGGAACTGTTCGGGGGCTCCCTCCCCACAGCCTGGCAAGGAACGTCTGTCGGGTGTTCTCGACTCTAGAAGGCACCCAACAAAGCCCTGCAAGACACTCTTAAAAATTACTTCTTTTGAGGTCTAGGTGGGTTCCCCTCTGGAATTGGAACAGCACCTGAGGTATGTGGAAGAGGGACACCAAGACGCCATCTCAGCTTTATGCAGGATCCAGGTGGCTTAAAAATAAAACCCTGGCTGGCTCAAATCCTTATCATGGAAGTTGGCTTTCATGAGGGAAAAGAAACAATGAACACATATATCATTTAAGGCCAGCAGCCTTGTCTAGGAGTAGGTGTTATGAACCCCCCATGAATGAGAAAACTGAGGCTCACAGGGGTTAGAATGTTGCTCTATGCCTCCTGCACAAAGAGGCACAAAAAAGTCCAAAAATAAGATCCCTAAAATGTTTCTTAAGCTCCAAATCAGGGCACAAGGCAGTTTTTACCGCATGCATTCTGAGGGTGTCTGTAACCTGTCTCCCTTCTAGAGGGGCCCTGCAGATGTTCCTGCTTCATCCTCACACATGCGCACTACCCTGAGAGCACGCCCACACCCACCGGCGGCGTGTAGACACACAAAAACGCGCCTGGAAAAGCCCCAGCCTGGTGGTGAGGGGAAGGTGCACCATTCCCAATGCTGGATCCGCGGGCGCCCCTCCCACATGGGAGGGTTACGGATTCCTAGCTGGCGAGAGGAGCTCTGGAATACACTGTACTGGAGATGTAGATTTTTCTCCCTACTGGTGCTTTTCAATTGATACATTTTTTAAGCCAAGAACTCCTACCGATAGTGCAAAAATGAGTCATAGATCAAGGAGGGAGATAGACAGGGAGCGAGCGCTTGTGAGTGAGGGCCACTGGCAAGAAAACCTGACAATCCCCGCGCCCCCTCCCCCCATGCCAAGACATTAATTCTCACAAGTCGGAGAAAATTACTATGCATGAATGCAAAAAGCATGATCAGGAGTAATTAACATGGCTTCATATGCAAATTTTATTAATGCAGAAGTACAAAGTCATTATGCAAATGAAACTTACGTCAACTCTCTTGACAAATATTCATCTCTCAGGCTCAAGTTTCTCCCTATTTATTTATTTATTTAATTCTTCTCTCCCCCCCCTTTTCCCGCCCCCCCTTCTTTTTTTTTTTAAGAGGTAGGGGGGTAGTGCTGGCGACTGGTGACCACTTCAGCAGCAGCAAGCCAGGAGGACTGTTTGACAAGTTTGCAAAGTTGTTTTCAACCAGAGAAATGTATTCTTGCGTTGTTGATTTTTTTTTTTTTTTTTTTTTTGGTTGTTGGCAGGTACAAGACAGCTCATAGGAGAAGAGGAAAAAATAAAAAAATAAATTAATTAATTAAAAAAAAAAAGCTCTGGGCAGGAGGCAGCCAATCAAAACGCCAGAGCCTGTAATGAGGGCGATTGATGGCTGTTTGGCTTTTACTGCAGGGTAATGAACTAGAATCCAGTCTGAGGAGGGGGGAAAATATGAATATTCATGAGACTGTGCTCCTGCCTTTGATGATTAAAGAAATTTTTAATATTCAAATAAGCGCTTGCCAAGTGATTAACAAAGAACATGCACGCAGAAATATGGAAATGGGAGCCGGGAAAGATTTGAGAGGCGAACAGACTGCTGGAAAGGCAGCCCCAAATTTCATAAACAAGATCGGCAGATAACCCAATTCGCACACAGGCAAATAAAAACATTTCTTTCGGATCGCTTAAATATTTTGCCAGCTACTTTGTCTTAAGGATGATAAAAACGCTATGTATTAAGGGGGAAGGGGGGAGAGACAGAGAGAGAGGAACCGCATGAAGTCAGATGCACTGCTTGGTGCTTAAGAATCTATCCCAATTCTAGCCCCCCTCCCCCAACCCCGACGGGAAATCAGGACTCTTTTTCCGGTTTGCTAGAGAGAGAGGATGGAGGGAAGCCAGCTCAGACTTGAA